TAGGAAGGAAACCAACTGAGCAACCACATGGATCTCTGGCAGCTTGTCCCTGCAAAGGGAAACTCTCCATCACCGGTCCCCATGCTGCCTCTTCTTCTGATGCATCAGGCTGTTCAGCTGGGCTGGCAGCCGCGCGATTTTGCTTCGAGGCATGTCGAACACATGGCTCTGGCAACCACCGTGGGTTATCGTCTCCTGTAGGGAAAACACAAACATAGCCTCTCCCCCACATTAGTACTGGATCCGGCCCATGCATTTCATTAGTCAATGGGTCTCTCCAATACACCTCAGGGAATGTCCTTGCCTGTGGATTCCAGAACCTTTGGGCTGCCGACCGGCCCTCGTTATCCACTTGCAGAAAATTTAAAATGAATATAGTATGATTAAGTATATTTTGAGGAGTTAGGGGGTATCACTCCTCATTCTTAACTTTAAAATTTTGATTTTTAAGAGTCTGATGGGCACGCTTGACAATCCCCTGTCCTTGGGGATTATAGGTGATGCCGTGCTTGAGTTGGGTACAGTATTGATGACAGAAATGAGAAAAGGCTTTGCTACAATAGGCGGGGGCATTGTCGGTCTTCAGTTGTTGGGGGACCCCTAAAATAGAAAAACAGTAAAGCAGATGGGCGACACAATGTTTAGCTCCTTCACCCGCCCTGGCAGTGGCCAGGATGAAGTGGGAAAATGTGTCAATAGTTACATGTACATAGCGAGAACGACCAAATTCAGGAATATGAGTGACATTCATTTACCATAGTTGATTGGGTTTTAGTCCTCGAGGATTAACCCGGTAATGCGGTACGGGAAGTATTTGGGGGTATCGCGTGCACGTCTTTACTATTTGTCGTGCAGTTTCTCGGGGAATCTTAAATTGCCATAGGAGGGCTCTAGCTGATTGATGACGGATAGAATGGGATCGTTTAGCTTGCTCAACATTATCTAGAGCCTGAAGAACACAAACCTGGGTATGTAAGTCAGCTGCTTGATTACCAGCAGCTAGGGGCCCTGAAAGGTTAGAGTGGGCCCGTACATGTCTAATAAAGCAGTGGCTAGACCGGGAATGTAGGATCCCTTGTATATCTTGAAATAGCTGTTGAATGGTGTCAATACAAGCTGAATTAATGTGCTTTATAGTAGCTGTTTTAATAATTTTTGATATACTTACCATATGAGTACTATTATTATAGATTAATGGGCTCTGTAGTAAAATCTGTTAAGGTATAAATAAGAGCTTGTATTTCTACTGAAATATAAGAGGTTTGAAGGACCTTTGCTCCTCTGCTGTAGTATATCTAGCCTTTCTAGAACTGGATCTATCTGTAAAAATGGTTAATACCTGAGATAAAAAAAATTCTTTTACTGTGGTAGTTAATATTATTTTCTGTGTTAGATATAAATCAAGCCCCTAAACTAGGGTTCCCGGTAGAATATAAAATATTAAGTATTTTGACTTCTATGTAGAAGGGTGTGTACACCGACCTTCCTTGCCCTTGGTCTTGGGCAACCTGTAGTAATGTATAGGTGCTGACTGCTATCATGGTAAGGTATTTTTACTTTAAAAATAAAGCAAATTTATTTTTGAATTTATAAGCCATAAATGTTGCCTTGCCTTTAGCTTAATTAAAATGTAGTTGGCTATATACAGTTAGGATTCAATTATTTATAAAATATTGGCTTCTCATGTAACTTAATTTATATGATATTGATTATATTGTAAAAGCCATTTTATAAAGTAACTTAAGTAGGTATCTTTAATTTAAAAAAAATGGCAAAGAAACTTATTCAGTAAAACTTATAGGTTTGATACTTTATTGGTCTGATCTAAAAGTATGGCTTTTATCTTTTTTGAAATTCCATTGCTGCTGAAAAGCCTGGCAGTATTTAAGAAATATATTGTTTTTGCCTTTCTTATAGGTGAAAACTTTTATAATATTTAATATATACCTATTAATTTTTATTTGTTAAGGCTTTCCATGCAATTTTGAGTATATTAGATCTGTTTTAAAAGTTTTCCTATAAGAAGAGAGAATAAATTTCTTGTATTACTCCGGGCCCTTGGAGCTATCCAAGAATCATCTCTGTTAATGCCTTGAAATTTTAACATGAAAATAAAACATCAAATAAATATTTATATATGATTTAAATATTTTAATATTTGTTATTATTATCTATTATTATCTTAATATATCAATTAGATTTAGACTAGTTTTTGTATAGAAAATTCTTGGTTGAGATCACAGAATTAATCCTCTTTTTAATTAGATCAATAATAAGTAACTTATTTTGAATTCCTAATTATTAGAGAAAATGTAACATTTTATTTTCTTAAAAATAAGTTTTTATGCTTTAAGTATTTAATTACTACAACTCTATAATTTTTTCTAATTTAATTTGTACTTTGAACTTTTAAAGCTGGCAAGTTAAATATATTTAGTAGTTCTTAGATTAATAACACTTTATATTTCTAAGAAAAATACAAGACATAATCAATTAATAGATTCAATTCTGTTCTCTAGGTTTTTTGTGAGGTAAATTTAAACTTTAATTTTTATTTGCCAGTGGCTCTGGGAAACTAGGTTTTGTTTATTCGACTATAAATTATCACATTCTTTAAGATGGCTATTGGCAGGACACTATATTAACTGTCTGCTGGGGGGAGAGCCTCTACCCTTTCCTCCCTGAACAAAGGATGTAGCCAGTTACCTGGACTACTTAGATCTTTACAATTAATATATTATTTATTTATATTTTAATAATCTCTTTGAGATTCTAGAATCAATTATAATTATTTTAAAGTATTTACTTTGGATAAATTCTATTACAGAGACAAATTTATTTATTTTCTTGAAGCCCTTAAAAGTTAACTTTTCAATAAGGTTCACTAGCATTTTGAAAACTACTCTTTATTATGGAAATGCAAATCTTGTTGCTGGAATTAGCTTGAATTTCTTTCAAGAAGATTTTTTCGCTGTTTTTCTCAGGAAAAAGAATCAGTTCTGGGTTTTTCATTTCTGTAGCTCTTGTAAAGAGTTAAGGCTAGTTCAAGACTTATCTAATATCTGAAATCGGACGTGCGCACATTCTGTCTTATACTAGCTTTCTCTTTACATGTGTACAGATATCCCAGACGCATTTTTAAATTTTCAAAACTTTTTTATGGCGAGAAAGGAAACTTTTAATTTATTATACTAGGAGAGTGGCTTCTATATTGGATCGCCTCATGTCTCTCCCTTCCCCCACATCATGCTTACTTCAGGGGAAGCATCAGTAATAGATCTGGCTGAATTTCTTTTCATGCTTAAAAGATAGATCTCAATTTTTTTTTCTTCCTTTTTGGCTTTCTGAAATAATAACTAATACCCAATTTGGCCAAGATTTGCATTTCCCTGTGAGTTCTCTTATAATTTTTAAACAAGGCATTAAGCAGTCTTATTGCAAGTAATCTTAATGTGGGAGACCAGATAGCCCTGCCCTCTCCAGCTGCCTTTGAATTTATCCGCATCAGAGGCAGTTTCAGCAGTGGAGTTCCACTTATTACAGATTTTAAATTTCATACATATACTAAGATTCTAATTTTAACAATAAACAACATTATTTTGTGATCACATAGACTTCAACATTCACTCTAAGAGCACTTTTACTTTGTCCCATGCTTTACACAGGCACCGTGAGACAAAAGCATGCTGTGCAGGACCTGTATAAAAAGATCCCTGCCCTGTACTTGCCCCATTTTGTTACTCCTGAATTAAAAAAAAAAAAAAAAAAAAAAACAATCCGCCCTTACTCACTGTTTCATGGAGACCTTTACCCACTGCGACCTTCCTACTTGTCCCAGTGTCTTCAGGTTCGCGGCCGCCACCTACCTGATCCAGCCGGTATCACAGGTCCTGAAGGTAGGGCTAGGAGGTTTAAGAGAAATAAAGACAAGAGAAAGCGGGGCTTCAGGAGGACTGCTAGTCCATGGTGAGACTGCAGCAGCTTTATTAGTTGCAGGCGTACATTTATGCGGCCTTTCTTGGTGTTTCTCCAAGTGCCCCTTTCCCAGAACAAGGCCGCCCGTCAGCTCCTTAAGGCGTTCTTGGAAAAGATACATAGAGTAGGCATCTGGCTAGATAGAGAACATTGAGAACAGCTTAGCTGAGAACATCCAGATAAGTCATGCATCACACGCACTCCCTAACAATGGGGCTATGGTCTGCCCTGTCCCTAGTTGACCCTGAAGGCTTAGGGGAGAGCAGGTAGGCGTCCCTACCCTGTGCTCAATCCCCTGTAGGAGAGCAGGTAGGCGTCCCTACCCTATGCTCCATCCTTGCCCTCGGGCCCCACGGAACACGGCTTCCCACACAATTGTATGCCATTTGCCAGTTTCCATGGTGTAAATACTCCCACCACTGCAGATTTAAAGCACCGTGTGATGCCTCTGAGCACAGAGTAGGGAAGAGACCGTGTGGATGGTCTGCTCTGGCGTGGCACTGGCAGGTGGCATGCAGGGGCACTCTGGTGTGTTGGAAGTGTCCTATACCCTGATCTCATCATGCTTGCACAAGTGCATACTTAAGATTGCTCACCTTTTTGTGTGACTGCTATACCTCGAGGAAAGGTAGGATATAAAAACGTCTGTGAGAACTAGAAAGATAGAAGCTGTTGTTAACTATGTTCCAGAGAAAGTCCAGAGAGGAATCAGAGTCAGTGGTTAGAAAGACGGTAAGCACGTCTTCTTGCCCCCACAATAGAGAGAAAAGAGAGACGCCATCCGTAGACATCAGCATCGATAACAAAGAGCCAGACCACTCTCTCAGTCTTCCAGCTTGTGACTTAATTTAATCTTATCACTAATGGCTGAGGCACCACACAAAACAGTGTTGCTTCTGAAGAGCTTGGATGCGTTGCCTTGACTACCTGTCACTCAGGGCTGGCTATTCCCCTGGCTGGCTCCAGGTGTATGCTTTCAGCACAGTGCCACCTGAACACAATGATCGGACACAAAAAAGCACCGGTGTAAAGAATGTCACTTTTATTTTGAGTAAAAATGCACATTCATATTATTTTTCTAGCATCACTAAAATCCTAACTATATTCAATATGTCTGGAAGATAACTAGAGTCTAGCTAAATAAGAACTTTTAATAAGACAGCTGCTCCCAACATAGACAGCACTCATATAAGTTTAAAGTTACAAAGGCAAAGAAAGCAACCATTTGAAGGAGCTTGACTGATGATAGCTCGACATATCCTCAGATTAACTTGTTCCCAATCCGGCAGAACAGGACCATAGAAAATATCAGACCAAATACCTAGAAAGTATAACAATAGAGTTAACATGCAGTTCAAAGGGAAATGCCAGGTACATTATAAATAGACACAAAGAGCATTATAAATGAAAAGATTCTGGCTATGGACAGTTTTAGTTTTTTTAACCTACGTCATCTCTCTTTGTGGGAAATTAGAGTCTCGACTCCCCTGGGACGAGAGAGCAAGGAGAAAGCTCTCTGAGTGGCTTGTTTAATCAGGGTTTTCAGCTGCCAGTCCACCTCTAATGCCCCGTCTGGTTGTTCAGTAGCTGCTGCTCCCAGAGCACTCCAACCTTGGGGGACACACACCCATCTGTGGGGCACCTGCTCCAGAGCTCAGGGGAGCTTGGGCCTCAGGACCCTCCATATACCTAGTGTTTCCATGGAAGAATTATGATCATCTGGTTTAGATCATCTGCATACTAATCAAGGAGTCTAGAATTTCTCTTGCCATAGTGAGGACATTGCCAAGAAGAGTGGGGGGGAAAGGAAACGTTTTTTTAAAAAATACAGCAACCTCTAAATCTATAGAGAATAGCTTAATTCAGAAATTTCCTCTGAAGTAAAGAAACACAGCTGAAATCTGGGGCATGATTTCCCACTCATTAAATGGCTCTCCCAAGAATGAGGCATCGCAAAACTTGCCCTAACTGTCCTTGTAGATGGTGACTCGTATGCCCTGGCTGTGATGTAGAAATGATAGGAGGACCTGTGTGTGTGACCAATCAAAGTTTCCCCCCACCAGCCTGCTTAGAGGGAAGGCATGAGGAGGACGAGCTGCTACTTATGCTGAGTCCTTCGTCACAAGTGCTCCTGCTGTATTAAGATGTCCTGCTTAATAATTTGTTCCTGAAAATACATTTCAAATGAGAACCACTGCCCAATATTTGTCATCTAAAAAAAAAAAAAAAAAAAAAAAAAAAAAGCAGACACCAGCTCTCTGAAAAAAAATAAAATAAAACAATGATTTTCATTAAGAGTGTTCTCAAAGTCATTCTTTTAGAATGACTTCAAAAAGCCTTGAAATTTTGCCTTGATCCCAAGCCTCAAGTGTGGGAGACAGGTATCAGGAGAGAATAAAGAGAATGGGAAAAATACTGAGATAAGGCAACTATCATCTTTCACTGTCACACCCTTGAAATAGAAGCCCAATATTTATCAGCAAACTAGACAGTTAATAACCCACTTTCTTGCACTTCGCTGCCTCTGAAATTGTTTTTTTTTTTATCATTTTTCATAAAAATAGCAAGTAATTAAAAAGAGATCCACCATATGGTAAACTATGTGAAGACTCAGGATAAACTTGCTATAAGTAATGTGCATGAGTTCCCAGATTCTGGAAAAGTCTAAAAAATGTAAAATTATCATTTTTCTCTCTTTTAAGTATGTTATTCTTGGGGCCTTCTGTCAGGATAACGTTTATCCTACAAAGTGATGACTACCAGTGTCAGTGCCCTTTTTTCTTAGTTGAAATAAGAAGAGAAAGTGCTGATCATTTTTGTGCTTGTAAGTTCTTTAGTTAAATAAGGAGAGGAATGTTATGATAGTCTGATTATTTAACTTGGAATAATGAGAATTCCAAGAATGTCTATAGCATTTTCTTGCAAAATAAAGCATTTTTGCATAGATTCATAGCATCCTCTCTAAGAAGAATCGTCCAGGTATGTGGTCTTAAGAGCCTTGAAATGACTACTGGCCCACTCCATCAGAGTCTCTGCATAAACAGACTAATGCCAACAGTCTAAATGCCAAAGGGTCGTGTTTTCATATGGATTTTAATGGAGATAGTCTGAATATATTTTATGCATAGAAATGTTTGCCCCTGTTTCCTTCTTAAAAATATTTATCAGAGAGATATTTTTTCCGCTCTATGAGTCTTTGTGTTTACTTGAATGTGAACTTAAGAAACAAGGTCTAGGTATTAAGCCTTAGAAATGGGTCTGTTAGTCAGCTAGGAATAATGAGTATAAGACAGATTAATATATATTTTTGGATACATTTTTATAGGCTGAATATCATAAGACTATTTTCAAGGCTATAGTTCTTTAAACCAATTATCATATCTACATATAGTCTAGAAATCACACTAACTGGCATAACTAAAAATTTATATTTTGTGATATTAACATATATATAAATTTCATACCCATAAAGAGGTATTTCACTAGGCATATATTTAGAACACTCAATAAAATATCTAAATATGTAACAAACACATGGATATACCAATTTCACAGACTATATTACTCCTCTTGTAATCTTACTTTCCATTAGATGTATTTAGATTCTTGGCAATGCCTTTGACTATGATATATGAGATATCAAACTCCCCAGTTGATTATGTTCTTATTTTCTCTGGCTTTCCTTTTGAGAGACTTCTTAAAAGTATCTGTGGGTTGTAGTCAGTCATAGTCAATTTGAGTCTAATATGGAATTTGACACTTATATTGATACTTACTTGCATTGAATACTTCATTTAAAGCCTGCTCTTTCAATCATTCATTTTAAGTCTACTATTGCAACACGTGTGTGTGTGACTTCTGAAAATATGTGAGTACATGTGTGTGTGATTTCTCTCTCACCTCTATCGCCACTAGCTCATATTTCTAAACCAGAATACAAAGCATTAACCCAGAATACAAAGCAGAGAAATAAAGGATTAATAAAGGAAGAATCTAGAGAAATAGACTTTTTTTAAAATCGTATATCAGATGTAGAGAAGGATATCCATGTTTCCAGCAGAAAATGCTTTATAGTAGTATTTAGACCCATTCTGGGCTACCAGAAAGTAACACTCAACACCCCAATTTACTGCTAATTGTCCCATCACCTTTTCTAATGATTGACTGAGGATTCCACTAGTAACCTTTTTTTAAAAAAAATATATATTTTATTGATTTTTTACAGAGAGGAAAGGAGAGAGATAGAGAGCCAGAAATGTCGATGAGAAACATTGACCAGCCGCCTCCTCCTGCACACCCCCCACCGGGGATGTGCCTGCAACCAACGTATATGCCCCTGACTGGAATCGAACCCGGGACCCTTCAGTCCGCAGATCGATGCTCTACCACTGAGCCAAACCGGTTTCAGCCGACTAGTAACCTTAATGACTACTTGGGACACTAAGTGGCTTCAATCCCAGCTAAAATTCCTTCCTGGCAGTGATGTGACACAAGTAAGATGCAAAAAGCTACCAGAAATCCCAAGGAGGACATTGTACAGCATTCCATACAAGTGAAGCACTAGCCACTCAACTGAGCTCACCAACCCTCAGAGGCATTAACCAGAGACAACCCTCACCTCATCAGGACACCTGCCAATGCCCTGCACAGGATGTGAGGGAATTTGACTCACCTGATACCTAAATTCACCAAGAGCCAGAATGATTCCAAAAACCCTTCCCTGAGATCGTTTTATTTCACCTATTTGGCAAACATTTTTAGGCCATGTAAAAGGTATCACTCATTCTTTTTAAAAATGCCAAGTAAGGCCATCAAGATAAAAACTCGAATTGTTTTCAGCATCAATAATCAAATTGATGAGAGTAAATTTGAGAAATTTTACTCAGTGAGAAAATTAAAGGCAACTGCTTCAAATTTTTAAAACTAATTAGATTTCTGTGGAATGGAATAGCAGGAAAACAGCTCCTCACACTCTTGAGTTAAGTTTTTATTTCCTCTTTGAAAATCAGGAGAGATAAGAAAATGTAAAGACTGTGTTTTGGGTTTGTCTGTGCCCTTTCTTCTAATTTTAACTCTTGCATTAGATTTCAGTGGGAAAAAGATATCTGGGACTAAGAACTATGAGCAAGCTAATTCAAAATTTATTTCCTAGTAGAGAGCTCATCCAGAAATAATAGGCTTAACCATGCTCAATTCATACAATTGTAATCCCCTCCCCAGACTCAAGGTTGAAGTTGGCCCGTGGCACTTGGGAGCCAGTGCTTGTCTGAAGCACTTGGTTTTTACTTGGCTCGCCATAAATGTGCTAGCAGGATTAATGGACAAGCAAGGGGAAAAAATAGTCATCAATGAAAGATTATACTGTACCTCAACGGCTGCCTCTCCAAATGTTATTCCAATAACCATCGTGATATGCTTTCTAATAAATTCTTTTATAAGACCAATGCATGCCTGTTAAAAAAAAACATATATATATATATATATATATATATATATATATATATATATATATATATAAAGTTACCTTTAATCACATTTTGATGACCTTATCTGAATTAAGATTTTTTTCCATTGGATTGATTTTTTGCACTGTTACCAAGAAACACACTCAACAAAAAGGAATTGGATTATTTCCTCTGCTTCAAATTTCTCCCCCCTCTGAAAGGTTATAGCCAGCACGTGAGGAGCAAAATTTTGCTTCAGCTACTTCATCTAGGGATCTTTAGTTATAAATAATAATTAATAATTTTATCTTAACGGGCGATTTTATCATTGTTATTACGTTGGCTGAGCATACTTTTTAGGTTTGTAATCTGCAGCAGAGTTCTCTAGTTGGGATTTCAGTTAATTATAGTGAAATTTTTCATTTTTAAAAGGAAACTTATGAAAATTCTGATTCTAATCTTATCAGTTTATTTTTACCTTAAAAATCATATATCCTTTAGATTTTAAAAAAGAGAATTTTGGAAGTTATTTCTCTACCATACTTTTTTAATCTATTCAAAGCAACATGCAATTCCAAGCTTAAAAAATTTCAGACCAAACTAAAAATTCCAAAAGTTGAAAATTACATGAATAATTTTAAAAATGAAAAATATTGCATGATGTAATAGTCCTACTATCTGTATAACCAGAAAACATTTCATTCCCATAATAATCTTATATATGCAATGGGCTAGCAAAATATTTCTATTTGTTAAATAAAATAAAAGTTTTCCATAGGTGTTCCCCCCCCCCCCCCTTTGTTCCTACCTGGGTTTCTCCATTCTCATTTGATCAAGAGTGGTCAACATTAGAAGAAATGATTACATTATTTAGGGTCAACTATGCAATTAATGATCTACTGAGTCATATTTGTTATGCTTGAGGAGTTTTCTTTCCCCTCCCCTTTAGATAACCAGGCTATCTTGGCAAAACGAAAGGGGGGGTGGGATGTAGGGGAAGAAATAAATTATGACCATTCAGATTTCTTATTTTTCCAGACTTCTTGCAAATGACACAAGGCAGAAGTATTTTGTGAATTTATGATCATCCTTTTGGGAAACAGTGCAACTATCACCCTGTATTCAGCTGAATTATGTGTGAATTTGGAAGGAATGTCTTTTATTTTTGAGGATAATGCTAGGACTTTCCAAATGTATCCTAAGGAAAAAATCTTTGCATTGAATCTTTAACAGAACACAACAATCTGCAATTTGCTATTGAATTTACCATTTTCCTCATTATCCCAAGCAGAAACTACATTTTTTACATTTCACCCAACTCCCTTCGTCTCTACTTAATGTTAGTGACATGGAATCTATAAGGAAAGAGGGAAGATTCCATGTCACTAACATTAAGTAGGGACAAAGGGAGTTGGGTAAAATGTAAAAAATAAGAACAAAATATTTTTACTGGCATTACTTGGACAATGAAAGACAGGGTGACTTTGTAGTGAGGTAGATAACTTCTTTCACACCTGTTACTTTAAATACCAGAAACAGAAATTCCCCTTCAGAAAGTCTCCTTCATTGTGATAAGATTAGTAATAAAAGGGATGTGATAGTCAGCAGGAGAGATGTTTCTCCTGAGACACTTTCTATGTCCTGATATATAATTCATCTCAATAGCCATTACTAAGCTAACACTAAGTTGAAAATAATCTTGAGGCATTATAGAAATTAATTTATTGAATCACATAGCTGTTATAGATCTCGCTTCCATCTAGACTATAATCTTCTCGAGGAGCCAGAAATCTGTCTGATTCTAACAAAGGGTCCGTCTGACACATAGCAGGCACCCAAGTATAATAGCAAATAAAGGAAACATTAATGTCATTAATATCAATTGTCATTTCTGTGCACAATCCTTTCAGGCATAAAGAAAAAATATATAAAACCCTGTGGCAACAGGCAGATATCAGATCTCCAGGAAGCCATAGCTTGTTTTTCCAACACTAATTAGATGGGGGTCCCATAACTCTTGTAGTTGGCCCTATCCAAGAAATACAATAGTTCATTAAATGGAAGTTGCCAAGTGATCTTTCTCTCCTCCCTATTTGAGCATCAGCTTCATGAGGGTCAACACTGAGCCCTGCATAGAAATTGGTCTCCAATGGCTGGTAGGAGGTAGTCAATAAGTATGGGATGAATTAAGCAGTAAGAAATATGACATGCATATATTGACATCCACAAGTGACATAATAAATAGCCCATCTACAACACACAAAAACTAAACCCAGATTTTCCAATTGACTTTAAATATATGAGGCAACTTTTAAATTCAAGCACTAATTAGATGAAGTAGTAAATAAATGTAAATCCAGAGCTGAAACCCCTAAAGGCCAATACAATTACTTGAGAAAGGAATCTTTGATTAGAAAATAGAAGCTTCACATTTAAAATAAAAGTAAAAATATAGATTTCTAGAATTTATGTTAAAATAGAAAAAAAAAATGGAGGAGAATAATAATTTAAGTTCCCGAAGAGAGGACAACATAAATGTGGGTCTGTTAGTTTGTATTTTGCTTCCTCTTGCAAGAAGAATGTTATTTTGATCTATTAGACTTGAGTTTAAATGACTGCCAGACTCATAGAAGAAGTGAAATACTTCCATCTTTTTATATTAGCTTTTTTCTTTAAATAATAATTTCTTTTTTTATTTGAGAAATTCCTGGGACATTTATGTCATAATTGGTACAATTTAAATTTTTGTGAAGTCTTTCATTTTGGAAAAAAAAAAAAAAAAAAACGAACAGAATCACTTACTGTGACAAGTTTGATTTGTTCTTACCCGTTTGTAAACTAGTTTTCCTTCATATGTTTCACATGCGGAATCTGTCATATCTGAACATTCACACGACTCAGAATTTTGTAGAAAATTAGTTCCCCAGTCAGAAGCTCCATCGATCAAACCACAGCATTTGTACTGTTTGATAAAAACATAGATATGAAAAGCAGGCACTAAGGAAGATAAAAACATTGTCAGTACACCAAATCACGTTCTCCTGAAACCATTAAGATGTTTCTTATAATAAAATACCATGTATTATTACCCACCTCTCTGAATATAAAAGCAAAAAGAAAGGGCTATTCTTTTTGTTCTTAATATGAAAAAGGAAAAATAGGTTGCAGGAGCAAAAGTCTGAGGAACCAAATTGAGATGATGAAAAATGTACCTTCTAGATTCTAATGACGAAAGAGGAGCAGAATCCATTCTTCTTAGCCTAGATTTTAGGAAAGAAGCTTCCAAAGAGTTCATGAGAGAGTCAAAATCTCTTTAAAGAATTTTTGCTCAGAAGAGATGAGAGGTTTAAAAATTAAGCTTCCATCTCATGATCTTTGACCTCTTATGGAGGCTAGGAAGAAAAGGGGGGAGGCCTCTCAAAAGCCAAAGGTGCTCGTGGGCCTCCAGTGCGATGAAATGTTGCATGGACATCTGCACGAGAGGGAAAGGGTCCCAGTGAAAGATTGAACTCTTAGAACAACGTCAGAAAGGCAAGGCCCAGAACAAACCAAAACATGGAGAAACACTAGGGGAACTAGTGGCCATACTTGGGGAAGAAAAACAAGGAAGTGATAAGCCCAATGATACACGAGTATAGGCACAAGTTATTAGATGAGGGAGAGAAGTAATTATCCCTCATCTTGTCCTAGTTGCTGTATTAGAATGAGAGAAAACTCTTCATGCAGAAATATAAGAGAAAATGAGCCAACGCTGGGTCCAGATGTATTGTGATGCATTGTGATGCCAGAAAACAAAGAATGTTCATGTACTGGCTGGGTGATCTCATTACCCATGTTACTCAAACTTCTCTGTGCCCCAGTTTCTTCATCTGTAAAATACATATAATAATAGTTGCAATAATAGCATCGATTTGTATATTTGTTGTAAAGATAAAAATGAGAAAACCAAGGTGAAGATATGAAACGCTTTACCCAGTGACTGGCTTATAGAAAGCACTCACTGTGTGTCAGCTGTTATTGTTTTGTTTTGCAGTTGTTGTTATTTTCGTTATGCTTACACTGCACATATCTATTCAACACTGATATCAGTGATTTAGAGAAAGATGTAGAAAGTATCTTCTCAACTCTGTAGCTGATCTAGAGCTTGGGAGTGATGATTAATACAGTGGAGAGAAGCAAAGATAGTGCTAACAATGGATTCAAACTAGCAAGTTTAACTGGGGGAGATAAAAAGTCTGCATTCAGCTCAAAGATTCAATTGCACAAATACAAAGGGGACAAAAGTGTGTTTACAGCTGTGAGTATGCAAAATGCATAACGATTCTCGGGGAAAAGAGGAGTGGAGGGTGCGGGAAGAGACTGAACATAAACTGTGCACCTATGGATGAGGACAATGGGGGGTGGGGAAAGGGCAGAGGGTGGTGTGGGAACCTGGTGGAGGGGGGAAAAAATGAGGAACTTATGTAACAATATGAACAATAAAGATTTATTTTTTTAAAAAAAGAAAAAGGAAAAAAAAAGAAAAGAAAATGATTCTTAAGGCAGAATTTTTACAAGCTGGAGTCTATCCAAATGGGGACTGAGGAATGCTCTGGAAAAAACAAACAACAAAAAAACAAAAAAAAAACAAAAAAAAGTCATCTTATAAATAGCTCAAGAAAGGATGTTTGAACTTGAAAGGCCAAGCTTTTAGAAGTCACATGATAGCCATTTTCAAAGAAAATTTGCAGCATATAGGCCCATCAGTAGATGTTTTTTTTTTCCCCTCTGAAACTCCAGAAGAAAGAATGGCACTAAATGATGCAAATCCTAGGGAAGCAGATGTTGTGTCCAATTAAGAAAGGGCACACTAATGATCAGACTATAAGTGGGATGGGCAAAAATTGGTAAAATTTCAGCTCTTCCATATCTAATTAGAGAGTGTATGAATATATCAATAGAAGTAAAACACTTCAGTCAATGAGAAGTCAGGTGAAGTGTTCTATAAAATCCAGCTCTCCCCTAAGATTCTGAGAGTTCCCATGACATGCATGAAATGTTATATGTAGTTAAGATGACTGGGATAAAGAAGGTGTGGTTGGAAGGAGTTTCACAGAGCAAGTAATATTTTAGTCAAGCTATACCTCACATGTATATTTGGAAAGAAAGAGAAAAGTAGTGAGTACATTCCAAAGGTGAAGAACAATGCAAAAGAAGAGAAACAGAACCACTTCGTGCATCCTGTGCAGATAGACCTGGCTAGACTGGAGTGTTGCTGTTACGGAGCCGTGTTTCAGAAAATTAAACTATTAGGCAGGTGCCAAATAGGAGAGTACCTTCAAAGCAGACTAAATAAGTAATCTAATTAACAAATGAAGGAGTGGGGGTGATAATGTATTGGTTCAAAAAAATAAACTAGTCAAATCTGAGTTCAAATTCCAACTCTCTCACTGTTAGCTGTCAGACTTCTCTAAGTCCTATTCCCCTCATCTGTAAAATAAGGATAATGAAGATAATTATATTACCCACCTCAAAGAGTTATGAAGATTCACTGAGCTACTAAATGTAAAGCCTGGTACCTAGTAAGTAGTAATAAGTGATCATTATAATTATTTTTATGAGAGAGGGAGTGGTCATAAAGAGAGGGAGAAAGAGAGAGACCCTCCAAATGCCCAAGCACAATATAAATATTAAAACAATGATTGATTTGTCCCTGAAGTTTGATCTATCATAAACATATCTTCTTAATCTCTGTCCTTGTGAACTGCTTTAGAACTTTGTAAGATGCTAGAAAAAAAATAGAACTATTATTGGATTTTTCTTATTGCATAGTGACAGAAAATCTGCAAAATGAATTTTCTTAACCTTTAAGGAACAAACCTGTTAAAAATTAAGTAAACACAAAAGAACTAAGTCTAACTTCCCAAATGACCTATGAATTCTGATTACCTTTTTCTGAAATATAATCAGGGATTTCTGGAGTAACTTTGCTTTTTCACCTGCTTCAGTCAAAAGGTCTACATTTTTATAGAGAGTCTCATTCAGGACATGCTCATACTGAAAATTAAAGAACATTGTTAAAATTATTTATGCCAGAGATAGTATTTTTATTTTTCACTTTTCCAAAATTATCAAGTATCATACGTGCACACACCTTGTCTTTGTAGGTAACTCCTAAAATACCTGCCACCATCTGTACGAGCAGGACCAAAAGCAAGCCTATGAAAAACTGAAAAAGAGAAAAAGGAACATATGTTATCCTCCAGTGCATTCAGTAACATCTTTGGACATCTCAACATAGTGCTTCATTCTGCAGTCTGGGTCATGTTATAGTTTGAAGTAGTAACCATGTCCTTGTTTTTTTAAGTATATTTTTATTGATTTTTACAGAGAGGAAGAGAGAGGTATAGAGAGTTAGAAACATGGATGAGAGTCATCGATCAGCTGCCTCCTGCACGCCCCCTACTGGGGATGTGCCCGTAACCAAGGCACATGCCCTTGACTGGAATCAAACCTGGGACCTTTCAGTCTGCAGGCCAATGCTCTATCCACTGAGCCAAACCGGTTTTGGAAAGTAACCATGTCCTTTATTGATTCTAACCTTTGCCTCAAGAAGCAATTTTTGGGACCATTACTACTCAGAAATATTTGCTCCAAAGACCGACTATAGAAAGTAGTAAAAAAGAAAAATTATTCATAGAATTGTAGGCATCAGTATGCTGTTGAATAGGGAAAAGTTTCAAAACTTAGATGAAATTATTTGAATACTAGTAGCCTAGTGCACAAAATTCATGCACTGGGGTAGATGAGGGGAAAGTTCCCTCAGCCCAGCCTGCACCCTCTCAAATCAGACATCCCTCTCACAATCTGTGACTGCTGGCTCCTAACCGTTCACCTGCCTGCCTGCCTGATCACCCCTAACTGCCTCTGCCTCAGCTCCCAACACCATGGCTTTGTCTGGAAATTAGACGTCTGGAAGATGGCTGGTCAACTTGGTATAATTAGCATATTACTCTTTTATTAGTATAGATAGATATATAGGATAGGATTGCTTAAATGGGGGGGTGCTTTTTTCAGCAGGAGGGGATGCTCTTGGCAGACAAAAATACATAATTACTATATCTGGACTGATAGCCAGCCATATGCACTATACTGCCAAATCGGTCATCTAAAAGTTGAACAGCTTTCTTAGACCTTACACCAAACAGCTGTTTCCCCTAAAACCCCTCCTCAGCTCCCACCTTAGGTTCTGCCTTCACAATTCACCCAGATTAGGTTCATATATATATATATATATATATATATATATATATATATATATATAATTGATTTTTTTTTTACAGAGAGGGAGAGATAGTTAGAAACATTGATGAGAGGGAAACATCGATCAGCTGCCTCCTGCACACCCCCTACTGGGGATGTGCCCGAAACCAAGGACTATGCCCTTGACTGGAATTGAACCTGGGACCTTTCAGTCCACAGGCCAACACTCTATCCACTGAGCCAAACCAGTTTTGGCCAGGTTAGGTTCTGATTGGTTGGTTTCTATGCAGCATCAAAAGCTCCACCTCCTAGGCAGCCATTGGTTCCTTACAGTTCACCCAGATTTGATTCTGATTGGTTAGTTTCTATGCCAATCAGCATCTCTGGGCCTGATCAGTGAGGTGGGGCTGATCAGCAGCCACCCCAGGTTGCTGGCAAGTGGGCTGAACTGTTGACCTCTTGGAGAGATAGGTGCGGCTGCTGGCAAGGCCAGGAGAGAGAGAGAGAGAGAGAGAGGCAAGGACTGTTCAGCAGCTGCCACAGAGGCTGCAGGTCAGACCCTGCTTCTTTCTCTGGGCCTCACCAGCAGTCACAGCAGAGGCTGATCAGCCTAGCTTCTCTCTCTCTTTGAGAGGTCAGCAGTTCTGCCTTCTGCCAGTCCCTGCCCACCAAAGCCTGCTGCACATGCAGCCTGGAGTTCAGTCTTCCCTTCAGTCATTTTGGATGTTATTGACCCTGCCTCTTTATTTATATATATATATATATATATATATATATATATATATATATATATATATATATATATATATAAACTTTCTCTTTCTTCCTCTATAGAATCACCCAGTCTTGTTATTTGTGTAAATTTCCAAATCGGCCTCAGATCTATTGAATCATAATTTTGGAGAACATAGCCTAAGCCCAGAAATTGATTTTTAAAGCAAGCTCTTCAAGTAATTGAATCTCCAATTGCAAACGGTACCTTATTAATCTAAAGGCAACCACTATAGATGCTAGTAAAGTTCTGTCAAAACTCTGTCCTTATCTTCCCACATAATAAACAAACACTTAAAAAAATTTTTTTAGGGTTTGACCCAATACTTACTTTATGGGAGAAACAAGTTTAGTTGAATTCTCATAAACATTTATGTCAGATTTATACCTAATAAATATGTGGTGATTTTTCTAATATGTTTTCTATATCCACTTATTATTTTCTACTATATGTTTTAAAAATGGAGTCTGTGGGTTATCCCAACTGAATCCATCCTCCTCAAACTTTTCTAAGTAACAGATTGGATTATCTCATTCTCTTAAAATTTCCTTAACATGAAATATGATTTTGCCACAGTCCATACTCAGGCCCATCTCCCACTGTTTACCAAAAGAGCCTCTACCACTCTAGCCATACCTGAGGCCTAACAGTTCCCCAAACAGGCCAGCCATGCCCAAGATCTTATAGTTCCTCCAAAAATCAGGGTGTTTTTTCTCAGAAAGCTTATCACAACCACATCCTTATTTACTTCTGCTTCTGGCTTGAAGTCCCCTCCTATACCTCCTATATCCTTGACCTCTTCTTCTTGAGCAACTTTCACAGTAGCTACTTATTTGTCCATCTTCTTTAATGGGTTCTAATTATCTTAATGTCTCTGCATCATTTAACACAGTATGTGGCATGTAGCAGGTACTCAGCAATAATGAATAAATGAAGGCTAAAACTTATCTTCTCTCAGGGTATCCTCTAATCAAAGCTAAACATATTGGCTTTCAGAATCAAACCTGTTAAAGAGAAGTCAAGAGTGTCATCAACTTTGGAAAGTCCTTCAGGCACACCATGGGGTGGGTATTGGGACTGGCTGGAGAACTCACAGTCAGAAGCATGCAGCGGCTCTCTCTCAAGGTACCACAGAATCCCAGGAAACCCAGAATCACGATGATAGTACCCACACCGATCAAGATATTTGCAGAAGTATTATAAGAAGTATTGTAATCATCGGGAAACTGAAAATAAAAAAAGAGAAATCAGAAAAATCCTTTTCCTTGATGTGTTTTATTCCACAAAAACCCATTGGGTGCCTACTATGTGCCTTACGACCTTAAGATCCTTCAGTGATCTACACCAGCAAAAATATCTGCCCTCAAAGAGCTTACATTCTATTAAGGTGTTACTTGTCTGGATAATGTTTTCAATGTTATACTTTTCAAAGAGGATATATTAGGTATTTTGGATATTGTATGGAAACAATGTAAAAGGCTTTGAAACACCAATTATTTTAAATTTAGAAGGACATGTACTTTCACCTACCACATGATGTGCTCTTTGGTTTGCATATTTTGTGGTTTATACATAAAAATAGCATTGTAAAGCATGTGTTTCTATGGCAATTAAATGAATTATAAAGCCAAAGTTTCTCAAACTATTGAGAGACTCAAGAATATGAATGAATCTCAAAAATTAATGAATGTCTTATTGGGCTAATTAAGAGTGATTATTGTATGATTACATTTATATGACAATCAAAGATGGGTAACTGTAAGCTATGATGATAGAAATCAGAGCAGGAAATGACTTCTGGTTGTGTAGGAGAGAAAGAAAGAGCTGGCTGCAAAGGAATGAGGGGTTTTTTATATGTTAATAAAATATTTGATATATTGATTATAAGAGTAATTTCACAGGTCTACACATTTGCCAAAACAAAAAATTTAAACTAAGAAAAAAAAATCTAGTACCTGATATTTCAAATCAATTCGATCTCCTTGTTCCCAGAAGATATATAGTCCATAGAGTCTTCCAGAAACTTTTCAATTTGTCTGACTATTAAGTAACAGAATATTAAGGGGGAGAGGGGATCTTAGGTCCCTATGTGCTGAGTTGGGCTATACAACCTGCATAATTTGATTCTTCTTCCCCACACATACTCCTCTTCATCACCTTCCTAACACCGAACCTCAATCTACCACTTATGTACATCATAATTAAACAGTGAAACCTTGTGCCTGTGTTGAGTGCCAAGTGTAGCACTTGTATAACCTGTATTTGCTGGTCTCTTTCTAGGTAGAGCATTAGTTCTTAGACCATCAAAGCCTCTGCCTCCTAGAATCTGCTAAACGTCATGTAGATCAAAATAAATAAAAACCCACTACTATGAATGATCTTTACATTTTAAATGACTTTTTCAACCAATTCATAGTCTAGGGGGAACCTTTACTCCACAATCTGTAAGAAGGAATGTGCTGAAGCTGTCAAAGCATTAGAACAAAGATCTGTATTCCAGTGGGTCCTAATATGTAACTAAATTTCTAACACTCGACTAGTCAACTGACAGCCCAGCCCAGTTTCCCATTTATAAAGAGAAGTGAGTCAGCCTTTGTGATACCCAAGGCCTCCTTTGTCTCTAAGAGTCTATGCTGACTGTTAATCTTTCAATTTACATATTTAGAAACCTTTCATTTATATATATCCTAAAGATATTTTTGTTTATTGTGCATGTTTTGTGTTTGATTGTGGTCTGGTTTTGTTTTTGTTTTTGTTTTTGCTTTGTTTTGTTTTTCTTTTTTGTTAAGTAGATTGGACCTAAAAAGTCAATTTTTTTAATCAACAGGCATGGCATCTGGGTCAAAATAGAAAATGACAAAACATCATTAGGAAAACCATTCTAACCAGTCACCATCAAACACTGCTTCACTCTAGGACTAGTGCAGGCAAACCCTACCACATCTGAGAGGATTGAAGCCTCACTTACTGAGGCTTTTCAGAACTTTCTTAGATAGCCCAGACACAAAAATAATAGGCCAAACATTTGCAAGTGAGACCTGACTATGTGGTGCGGCCAGCACTTGGCAGGTTCATGAAGCCTGTCCACCTGATCTGGGCAGGTGACCACAACCAAAACTTAGGAGAAAGCAGTGTGTGGATTTTCTGTGGGTCTCTATTCTTAAAGTCCAGCCCAACAAGTGACTTTTCTTATTCAGAAAAGAGGTGGAAATCGAGTTCAAGGACAGGGAAAACAGAGTGTTAAAAACTGTCTTGGATGAATAGTGTTGGAGTGTGTCTTAGGTCAAGGGGAGAATTTGTAAAGAAAGAGGAATAGCTGAACCTGGAAGAAAGTGGCTCAGCGTCCTCTAGATTCTAAGGAATCTCCTGGGACAAGAATGGCTGCCCACATGCTTTGCCTCATGATGCTGAGTTTTTCCTGAAGGAGAACAAAGCATCCCTGGGAGACACTTTAGTACAGAGGTACCCTAAAAGATGTTCATCTAGACCTCTCTAGCATCCTTCTTTTCTGTGTTTATGCTCAGGTTTCTCCTTCTAAAATTGCAACCACTGTTTTCCACTAGTAAAATTCAGCTCTTTGCACAGCCTGGATTCTTTGTCCTATAAATCAAGCCAATCTAACATAAGTCAAGCTGGGTAACGTTGTCCTGAAAGGTAATGACTTTTGTTCAGAGTTAGAACCTGGCAGAGGACAAGAAGCAAAATGTGACTAAAGATGCTATCCAGATCTATTAATTTATTCTTCTCCTCAAAGACACTTCTATAATACATTCTATCTGGGTAATTTCTTAATAGACTAAACATCAAATATGTTTACCAGAAGCACTGGGTGAGGTGGGGAGAAAATGTTCCCTTATCAACCAAGAATAGTGAAGTAAAATAAAATACAGGCTGTACACACATCTTAAAAGGCAAAGCACCCTCTGAATAGGTGGCTGTTAATTTATGTGCTTTAATTTAAGTCTCAAAGTCAGACATCAGTTTCTAGACAACAGAAAGTCTGTGCATCTTCCAATACCATCAATAGGCTCAAAGTTCAAAGCCCAAGGCCATTAAGAAGTCACAGTTACATTTATCAGCAAACAACACATGAAATCCTGATGGACTAGATTAGAAATATTACCAACTAGTTGCCACAGCTGTCCCTCACCCAATTTCTTCAACCCAGTGAGACACAGAATGAGGAAGCAGCTAATTCCCACTGCAATTCTCTGTTTTTTTCTAATGGTATAAAGCATACTTTTAAATGAAAAGAAATAAAAGTAAAAGAGAGAGAGAGGAAAGGAAGGAAGGAAGGAAGGAAGGAAGGAAGGAAGGAAGGAAGGAAGGAAGGAAGGAAGGAAAGAAGGGAGGGAGGGAGGGAGGGAGGAAGAGAGGGAGGGTAGGAGAGGAGAGGAGAGGGAAGGAGAAGGGAGAGGAAGCCACTCATTTAGAAGAAATGTTAATTTTCTTATAATTTTTCTTTTAACTAGGCTATATCAAAAGGCATTTAGCTGCACCATGGTATAATAAGAATTAATGGAAAATGCATTACCTGTACAGTACAGGGAGTATAGTCAATAATATTGTAATAAGTATGTGTGATGTCAAGGAATACTAGACTTATTGAGGGATCACGTCATAAGTTATATAAATGTCACCCACTATGATATACACCTAAAATTAACATAAGCAATAAAAATTAATTAATTAAAAATTCATTACCTTAATTGAAAGCTTAATAATAACTTAATAATCTATACTAATAAAAGGGTAATATACTAATTAGACTGGTTGTCTTCTGGACATCCTTTGAGACAAAGCCACTGTGTCTGGGGCCAAGGCAGAGGTGGTTAGGGGCCATCAGGCTAGCAGGGAAGGGCAATTAGGGGCCATCAGGCTAGCAGGGGAGGGCAGTTGGGGTGATCAGGTCAGCAGGGAAGGGCAGTTGGGGGCAATCAGGCCAACAGGCAGAGGTGGTTGGGGCAATCAGGCAGACAAGCAATTAGGAGCCAGCAGTCCCAGATTGTGAGAGGGATGTCTGGCTGCTGGTTTAGGCCCAATCCCTGTGATCATGCTTAAACCAGCAATCAGACATTCCCCAAGGGGTCCCAGATTGGAGAGGGTAAAGGCTGGGCTGAGGAACCTCCCCACACCCTTGCACAAATTTCATGCATCTGGCCTCTAGTCATCAAATAAGAATCAACATTTCTCTTAGTGACAATTTTTTGGTACAGTTTCTTGGAAAGGCCCTAGCCATAGATAATGTGATCCTGAGTAGTGGCAGAAGCCCAGACAACAAAGAACAAGAAAACTGTCCTGAGGGCTGTAAGGATAATACTTTGAAGGGTGGTGTGACTCAGAGAAGACAGGAGAGAAAAATTAAGCAGGGAAGCAGGAAATAGTGCCAGGCATGATGTTGGGTTAAATTATTAGAACCAGCACCCCACACCCTCATCCTTTTTCCCAAACACACACACTTCCACATTTGTGACACTATGGTGTGGAACAGAAACAGCACTTGTGCAACCCAAAAATTGGATACAGAGCTAAATATACGAACTAAACTTCCTCTAGACCTGTGGAAACCTTGGTAAGAGCTTTGCCACAGGTCAATGCACAGTGTGTGTTGAGGGGGAAGGGACATGCGAATCCTATCTACATGGCAAAGAGCTGGAAATCCTCATCCAACTGTTGAGTTACACCAGTGTGACCAGCCTCCATTGCCAATGGCCTCAGGTAATTATTAACCATCTTTGCACATTGCTGCCTTTAAGACGCAGATGCAAAATCTCCAAGAAGATTTCGTACCTTTTTTCCCTTTGGGCCAGCATCCAACCTTGGGATCAGCCAAATGATTGCCAATACCTTATACTACACAAATTGTTCGTGGTGGAGAGGAAAAGTGATCATTCTCTTTTGGCTACACTTTAGGCTGGCCGTAAGCACATGAAGGAAAAGACTAACTTCCACTCAGGTCCCTTCCCACATCCACTTTCTCTGTGGTCTTCCTATTTTGGGAATAAATACCACCTTCATTCTCCAGAAGAACTGTGTCATGGGTCTCCAGAAGATCCATGCCCAACACAGCAAGGCACATAGTGAGTACTTTTGATTAATTAAATGTAATTATAGTATAAAATCCCTTATCAATGTAAATAATTATATGAGTCAGTTAAAGAAAATGCTATAGAAACACTTATATCATTACTTTCATCATTATAGGAAAAATGATCTACTTAGGGATAAAAAGAGCTTGTATTTAGTTATTTACCTCTATCTCAGATCTGCTTACTCGTATCCATATTGCCAATCCCAGGATCAAAATACCACATAGCTGCAGGAAAAGAAAAAAGCATATATTAGAGTACAACTAAGATAAACTGCAACTCTAATCCCACAAACCTCTAGCCATCTGGTTACAATGGTCTATCTGTTAATTATACCATTATACCCTATAAGACATAAATAGGGCATATTCCCATGCAGGTAACTGCTAAAGTGGTCCACTGTAATTGGTAAATTTGATAAGAATAATGTTTCGCATGTACAGTCCAATCATAGGTCTAGGACAAAAAGATCATCTCTAATATGGGGCCAGGGAAAGATAATTTTCCATTTTTCAACTTTAACTCCGTGGTTTAGCTAGATTTTAACCTACAAAAGATAAGTCATAACAGTTTAAAGACAAAATATCCTTATTAGGCCCTAGATTGTCTCTGAAAAGCTGTCTTAGACAAAATAAATAAATAAATAAATAAATAAATAAATAAATAAATAAATAAGGAGAATAACTGACTAATTACCAAACATTAATCAAGATCCAAGAAATGAGCAGTTAGATAGACAGAGAAAAGTAGAACATTTGACTAAATTTTCAGTTAAGCAACAAACATTCATAGCACTTTCTGTACCCAAATAAACTCTTTTTAAAATAAGCTTTTAGGTAGTAAAGATTACTCAGAGAAGAGCAACAATGAGGAACAGTACTTACAGTCTTAAATTCCTTTAATGACTTTACCAGATTATTTAATTTGGACCAAGGCCAACACATAAAATGTGAAACACATTTTACTTTCATGTAAGGAAAACCCTTGTCTTTTAGGTCTTTGTTTTGTTTTGTTTTGTTTTAAGATATATATGTTGTGGTGTCAAAAAAAAATCAAAGATCTATTATTAGATAGAGATGTTGAGAACAAACTAGGTAACATACCAAATACAGCAGGCCTTGGAGGACTTTCTAGACTATCCTGGCCTTATGGTGTTCTGACACAGACCTGGCTGAGTCCTCTGAAACCCAGTGGCCCTGCAGTTTCATGGTTTTCATGCACAGTTGGACCACATGCCTGGAATCCCAAAGCAACAGTTTCATTTCTAATGGCTTCTCATAAAGTTTGCTATGGAAGTAGAGTCCAGGGTTTTAGGGAGTGCCATGAGTAGCTAAATAACCTGAGAATCTGTGTTCCCTAAAAGAACTCAGAAATCATCTAGGTTCAAATTCTTCTTTTCAGGTAAAGAAACTATTGTAGAACCCTTAGCAGGTCATCGTCATATCATGAAAATCCGGCACTACTGATCCAATCCTGCCTCTATCGCATGCTTCTACTCCTACAAGATAAGGAATGCAATGGAAAACCAAAGCACTTTATCCAATCACCAAGTCAGCTGTACAATTTAATTATCTCATAGGCATACACTATAAAATACAAACCATTGGAAAAAAAAAAACACAGCTTTGGAGCTTGACTTCTTCTCCCTGTTACAACTAGTTCTAATTTCATTTGCAGATGAAGATGAAATAAGCATGTTAGCAGTTCTTTGTTAATAAATAAGTCTGTAAAAATTTATGTCAAATTATAATGAGACTCCCTGGGATTGTCTGTAATTTTATAGCAGTTGGATTTTTTGTTATTTTCTTTGTTCACTGATATTTTCTTTCTTTTTCTTCTTTCATAAGAAGATTTACATTGATTATCTTAATAGTTGCTCTGGCTTTTAGATTTAATTGAATATAGTATTAATTATCTAAATAGATATGGTTATCATCCTTATCTGATATTTATTGATGTCACTATCAAGAAAACTTTAAGATTTCTAAGAGACTAAGAGTAGAAGATTGTTTAAACCTTTATTTTTTGTTTCTGTGTGACCTTTAAGTTCACTTTCTCAATGTAATTAGACATCAAATTATTCCAAAATCTTTTTAAATCAATCATATTTCCCCCTCAAATGGTAACTGTTAGACTTCTCAACCACTGGAAATTATATGTTACATTAACATTTAAAGATAGAGCGTCAGCCTGGGGACTGAAAGGTCCCAGGTTTGATTCCAGTCAAGGGCATGTACTGGAATCATGCGGGCACATCCCCAGTAGGGGATGTGCAGGAGGCAGCTGATCGATGTTTCTAGCTCTCTGTTCCTCTTCCTCTCTGAAAAAAAAAAAAGAAAAAAAAAAGAAAAAGAAAAAGAAAAAGAAAGAAAGGATATGAAAACAATGAGATGCCACTACACACCTATACAAATGGCCAAAATCAGAACACTGATAATCCCAAAAGCTGGTAAGAATGTGGAGCAACAGGAATTCTCATTCATTGCTGATGAGAAGCAAAATGGTACAGCTATCTTGGAAGACAATTTGGCAGTTTCTCACAAACTACTTATACTCTTACCATCTGATCCAGCAAAAATGCACTTTGGTATTTACCCAAAGGAGTTGAAAAACCTGCTCTAGGGTATTTATAGCAGTTTTATTCATATTTGCTAAAACTTGAAAGCCACCAAGATGTTCTTCTTTATGTATATCCAGGCAATGAAATATTACCCAGAGCTAAAAAGAAATGAGCTATCAAGCCATGAAAGAATATGAAGGAAACTTAATTGCGTATTGCTAGGTGAAAGAAACCAATCTGAAAATGCTACATACAGTATGATCCCAACTATGTGACATTTGGAAAAAGGCAAAACTATGGGGTCAGTAAAAAGATCAGGGATTGCCCTGGCAATGTTGCCAAGTGGTTAGAGCATCAACAGAACACTGAGGTTTGATTCCAGGTCAAGGGCACATACCTGGGTTGCAGGGGTTGCAGGAGGCAACCAGTCTCTCTCTCTCTCTCTCTCTCTCTCTCTCTCTCTCTCTCTCTCTCTCTCTCTCTCTCTCTCTCTCTTTCCTTCTTCCCTTCTTTTCCACTCTCTCTAAAGATCAATGGAAAAAATAACCTCAGGTAGGGATAAACTACAGCAACAACAAATAATCAGGGATTACCAGAGGGAAGATGAAATGAATGGGCAAAGCACTGAAGATTTTAGGCCTGTGAATCAATACTCTGTATAATAATATAATGGATATATGTCATTGTCATTATACATTTGTCCAATCTCCTATAGAAGACTAAGAGTGACCCCTAATGTAAACTATGGTCTTTGGGCAATTATAAGGCATCAATGTTGGTTCAACAATTATAACAAATGTACCACTGTAGCAAGTGATATCAGTAATGGAGGAAGCTATGCATGTGTGGGGACCAGGAATATATGGGAATATCTGCACTTTCTTAATTTTGCTGTGAACTTAAAACTGCTCTAACAAATTATAGTTTTTTAAAAAATAAAAAGAAAGAGTATTCAATTATTTCATAAGTCAAGAATATTTTGCCCAACTTCAATCTTCCCAATTAGACCAATATTCTTAGGGTTTTTGAAGTTGGCCAAACTATCATTTCCATCCCTTTTTCAAACAACATCACTAAAAATAAGAAACAAATGCTTAAAATATATCATCCCCATCTTATAGAAGAAATTCATATGTAAAAATCAGAGTCTTAATAACATGCAATCATTTATAAGTTTATTAAATGACTTTAAAAGTAAATTGATTTTCTGTCAAGAACATCATTCTAGTATCATGATTGATACTAATCTAATTGATCCCAATTGTTTTTAGATTGGTAATAATAGTTCTTGGAGCTCTTCTCCAGTTTGTATTTATGGGTTTGTTCCCAATCTTTTTATAATCCTATCTAATAAAGAGGGAATATGCTAATTGACCATCACTCCATCACAAAGATAGCTGCACACACAGCTGAAGCAAAGTTCCCATAAGGAGCTTTAACGAGCAATCAGCAGGGGCCTGAGGCTACACCACCCACCCCCATAGGGCTTGACAGGGAACTTCAGGCACGCCTCCCACCCTGGCACCAGGCTGGAGGGTCTCAGACCAGCATCGGACCAGGGGACCTGAGGCTGCACCCCCTGGCCTGCCGGGGCCTGACAGGGGACCTCAAGGTTTCCTCCAAGTGCTGGGTCAGGGGAAATCAGGCCATGCACCCCACCTAGCGAGGCTTGACAGGGGATCTCAGACCACGTCCCCCACCTGGCAGGGCTTGACATGGAACTTCAAGGCAGTCCCCTGCCCCAGTCTGGGCTGGGGCCCTCAGGCCACGCCTCCCAGCCTGGTGCAGGGCCAGGGGACCTGAGGCTAGGTCTCCTGCCCAGCGGGGCTTGACAAGAGTGGGACTGGCCAGGTCTGGATCTAGCTCAGCGGTGGGGGGGCCGACTGGGTCTGGGTCTCCTGTGATTTTGAGGTACATGTGGGTGGGCGGGGACTTGACTCTGGGTCATGTGGCCTGCCCCAGACTCTGACAGAAAGAAGGTTTTCATATATTTTACTAATTTTCTTTCATCTCTGACACTACTAGTATAGAGAAAGAGCAAATAGCGATATTAAATTATTTCCTCTAGTTAATTCCCTTTTAATGTGCATGAATTTTGTGCACTGGGCCACTAGTGTTTTAAATAATTAGGAATATAAAGTAAGAAGAAAAAAATGTCTAGCTCTGTCCTTTCTGTTGATAAGGCTATAAAAAGAAATGGGTTCTGTGGGGCCCCCAGGTTAGCCCAGTGGGCACTGCAGAGCTGACTAGGTTTACTTCCACTCCCATCCCATCCCCCAATGAGTTATTGTGGTTGTCACTCAGCTCTCATGGGACATCTTTCTTTCTTTTTCAAAATATTTTTATTTATTTGTTTATTTATTTATTTATTTATTCATTCATTTAGAGAGAGAGAAAGAGAGAGACATATTGATGCAAAAGAGAAATATCAATCCCCTGCCTCCCACACGCACCCTGACCAGGTATCAAACTTGCAACCTGGGTATGTGCCCTGACTGGGAATCACACTGGGCCAGTGTACAGGCCAATGCTCAATCAACTAAGCCACACTGGCTAGAGCAGGACATCTTTCTTTTTATGGAATCATGATGCTGTTGATCTGAGCCAGCATGCTAAGAAATTAGGTAATTTTGGTTTACTTATGAGCATGCTGTAGACTAAATTACA